CCCCCAAACCCCAAAACCCCAAAACCCCGTAGAATAAATTTGTAGATAAATAAGTGAATAATTAATCAGAGAAAATAAATATATTGATGGAAAACTATCAATTATATTAACAACATATGGAAGGTCCAGCGAAACCGTACTAACCTATTCAACCACGTGCATATTATGGGAATTACCAGATAAATGAAAATTAAGATGCCTAAAATTGAATCAATGAAAGAGTGAGGACAAATATGCTTAAGAGAGAAAGCAAGCATAATCTAGATACATAAGAATATTATTCTAGCAACAATGGACAAGAGTACAGCATTTAAATTCCCAATGCATATAATTAAATTAGCGAGCCAATAATATATCACTCTCAAGACTAGATTTAATTAAATAGACCTAATTTTCTACCAAAGCTGCTCAAAAATCCTGAGCTTGTTAACAGGCAGGAGAGTAATCCTCTAAGTTAAACTGCATTCGCGAAATATACAATCTAAGGCTAATTGACTCACCTCTCAAATTTAGAAACTTAGAAGTTTAAATCATAACACAATAATTCAACATAGGATACCTAATATTATGACAGAGATCATGAAGCTGAACAGGAAAGACGCAAGAAAGAAATTTTATATTAGTCAAATACAATACCTGCTCAATAAAAACAAAATAATCATACAGTTCTAAATGAGTAAACTAAATTACCTTTGATTCCGATCAAGCACATAAATACATAGTAATTACCTCCATCTATTGATCATATCAAAGCAAACACCCCTTAATATAATCACTTCTACAACATATTTAACGAGGAAAATTCAAAAATGAGGCCGCCAAGAAGTAATCAAATAATTAGAAGAACTATTATGAATGAGTTCCCACATGCTTAGAGTCATTAATAATTCAGACCATCTAATTATCTGGATTATTCAAATAATTAATAAGAATATATGAGAAGTCCAGAGTTTTAAAACAAACAGCCACCTAAATCAAGATTAATTGCTAATTCTTCTAATTTTACCCTTCATAATCCTCAGTAAGATTATAATTTAGAAGAAGATAATATCAGATAAGAAATAGTCATCAGAATACCAATGAGGTTAAAATAAAATGGAGAGTTAGATGAAAATATAAAATTAAAATTAGATAACATCAGATAAATTCTATCATCATCTTAAGAGTAATCTAAATATGAGTAAGACAACAACAAAATTCTATTGAAGATCCCAGACTCAATTTAGAATCAAAGTTCATTGAATTACTCTAGAGTCAGCTCGCAGTATCCTGAGTTTCAAAGATTTGATAATCATCGCTCTAGTCTTGAAAAAAATAATAAAAATAGCGGAACCCAATAACCTGCAATTGAGCTTTAACCTCATCAGAGGAATATTCTGAACATGATTAAATAAAAGAAGATGAGTCAAAACCCATACAAATAATGGGATAATTAGGGCTCAAATATGTCTATAGGAGATAATAGTAGATTACTGAATTAAAGGTTAGTTTCTACAACTCAGATTGACAAATATGACGATCATCATCATACTGCTGTTAAGTATCAAGAATACAGAGAATAACTTAAGATGTAACCAAAGTAAACACTTTTGATTTATGAATTCTAACAATCTGAACAGCCTGTATATTACTAATAAATGCAATAAATGCATGAACAATAATAATAACAAAATAATTCTCAGTATTAAGATAAGCAGAATCAACAATAGTAATAGTAATAGTACTTGTAGAATTAAATTTCAAACTAGCAATAGAAATCACTTTCTAATGTAAATAATAAAATAACTGCAAGCAACTAAAGACTAAAATATACCTAAAATGATATTAATTCCTAAGAATTAAACTAGTCTTTACAAGAAGAATAAAAGGAGCAAGTTAACTATTATAATCCAAGAAAGATTGTAAAGAGAATCGATGAAGATGATACATTTTAGGAGAAAGTTGAATAAATAAAAAAGAATAATTTGAAATTAATTGATGTAAAATCAAAAGATTCTTCAAAGGGACTAGAAAGAAAGAGCACAATAAATTCTGAATTAAGAATTCCTATAAAGAAAAAGACGACTGCAGAGAGTGGATCTCCCTCATCTTAAAGCTTCCAAAAAGAAGGATCATCTTCAAATAAGAATATAGAACCAAAAAGAAGACAGACAATGATTGGTGGTTCAGGAGAAAAAACTTCAGCTATACATTAAAGTATTGCCAGCTATGCTCTTAATGTGTTTAAAAAAATATAATCTAAGAAACAAAATCTTAAGATTCCTCAAAGACCAGATGATCTCAAACAAATCTTCTTAAATATCAGCTTAGATGCCTATAAAAAGGTCCTGCAAACTAAGTAAAAAAAGTAAGAGGAAAATAAAGAAAAAGATAAAGGCAAAAAGAATTGAAGTCAATTACTAATTAAATTTATGAATTATCAATTTGGACTTTTTCTGCTCAAAAAAATTTAATACTAGTCAATATTCAAGGGGTTTTGGGGTTTTGGGG